TCAATACATTCATCACTTCGTTCAGAATCTAAAATGTAATTTACGTCTATATAAAATAAAGTATGAATAATGTAGCATATAATAATGTTTCAGTTTAAACTTTACTAYTGATATAAAAAAAAAGGACAATTAAAAACACTGGTAGTTTTATAACTTACTTTTGTTTTATAATATCTTTATACCCAGATCTTTTAACCACCGCTAATGCGAGGATTGGCAATTTGAAAAGTTGAATTTCCGATATACCACATTTTTCTTCTTCTCGCCACAATTGACTAATTAACTTGTACGCTGATACAAAATCAATCTTGAAACGATAATATTATGTTAAACATATTCAAGTACGTTTCAGACTTACACCTTGTTGTATTGTAATATGACTCAACTGAMCATACATGCATGAAACTCTTTTCGAATTCTAGCAATGCCTGCAGAAGCTGTGATGAACTTTTGCGTTCCGTAAGGTTTCATTTTTGTATTATAAAGTTTCCGTAAGAGTGGATCGTCCGTTTCCTAAATAATAAAACTACRCTCATAAAAATACACAGACATGCATTTTAGGTAAAATGTATTTAAATATTTAAATGAYTAAAAACAACATAAAATGCATTACATTTTAAATCTAAAAGTGTAATCGCGTATAGATTTATAATTTTAAAAATATATAGTTACTATACTCTAGTTTTAAGAGTGGGTTGATGATGAGGGGATGCAAGAGGTAATGTAAGATCAAATTAAATAAATATTTTATCATTCAGAATTTAATATAGTCCCATAATTGTATATGAAATAATGTTARAGGAAGAAATCTAGACAAATGATAAACATAGGTACTGATGTAATATTATATTTAACATAATATATTATTACATCATAACAATTGATTCTTAAATAATAAATAAAATTACRTAAYCATTGTCAAATTATTTATTTTTAATTGCCTACTCTGAAAATTTGATTACCTACGTCACACCACACCCTCTGTTATGCATAAATCGTAGAGCAAAGTTGAGTATGATCTATTGTGCACTAACGTTAAAACAAGTAAAATAAAATTTCGTATTTAGATTGGTAATGACTTGAATCAACTTAATACTTATTTTTCATTTTAGMATGAAATTCATCAAGACATGCAAAATCGTTAAATGCACGGATCTGACTGTCACAGTCAGTAWAAAATATGYATTAGGTATATGGATTATATTATATAACCAGATGGTGTACTTGAAGTGTCATACCCAGTGGCGGGAGGCTATGGGGCATCAGTGAAAAATGCAAATCATGATATTTCTGAAAATGGTTTTGAAGAAACATTTTGAGTATTATCGATTATTCATACAGATTGTTACTGTTACGGGATAATACAAACTATTATYTTCGTAAAACGTAACATACTTACACCGAAGTAAACATCATTGTACGGGTTGTCTTGTGCGCTAAACGTCATCGAAGATTCCACCAAATCATTAATGGTCCTTATCGAATTGCTAGGCGACTGAAGCAATGCAACAATGCTGGCAGAGTACGACGTAAACAGAAACACCGCAGTCAAAAACAGCACGAAAATGGCGACCCGAATGGACCCCGAGTTCAGATTCATTGTGTAGCCTGTCAAAAAAAGAGAAAATTCAATATTGTGTGTATGATAATATTGTGTAATATTAACATATACCATATACCATAAACCTAACCTAACCTTATTATTTTCACATGGCGTTTCGAGTGATGAGATCCACAGATAATTAATAGAGCGCGTGGGAAGATGGAGCGTCAAATTGGATAACCGWCACTTWATCTATATTATATGGGATATGTTTTGTGTTAATTATTGTCATGCTCGTGATTTTAATGAACCGTGTTTTTTATAKCTTTGAAAAATAATCTTATCTGRGATTTTGTGGTTTAACGTGCCACTTACACATTAAGAGACCTGTATGGCTGTGTACATATATAATAACACTAATTAAAAAATCCTTTACATAAACGGGTATATATTGTGTGAGGTAATAGCCACCTGGCGTCACTGTCTSGAACACGGAAAATTTCATCACTSTCAAATATGTCATCCTGTAAGGACCCCCTAGGATTATTGCAGTAGCCTAATGTATATAATTACACGTCTAAATGGTCGGGTTATAATAGCATACCTTGTTGGCAAATCGCCCCATGTACGATTGTAACCGATTCTAATACGTTTAGCGTCTCTTTTTCGTCCTGCTTGAACTTTCGAGTCGTTCTGGACAAAAACACGATGAGGATCGTGAATCCAATAAATGTAAAAAGCGTCACCATCCACACCTCGAACTTGAACGGTAGAACGCAAATATTGTGGACACTAGATAGTGGTGGTTGTTTGAATAACGCCGCCGCTCTTAAATAAAAAAAAATAAACATTAGCAATATAAAATCTTGGTTTTTTATACGAATGTTGTAAAATTGTTGAGACGCTTAGATTATAACCATCAAACTCTTACTGTCTATAAAACGTCCCTACGGTGTAGTCAATCACGGTCATTCGATCGTTTCTCATGAATGCACCGATGCCACTGAAATCGCATTCTTCTCTTTGTAATTGACCCGTCAGCCCACTAAACGATAAGTTTCCCATATCCCAGCCAAAACTATTGACTATATCTAGATGTATTCTATATACATTAAYAAAATATAATATTTGTATTCATTAACACTATTCTAGTATAATATTATACCTATTGTATACATATGTGTTTTGTTCATAATTTCAATCAATTTATAAAATATTAAAGAGTGACGCATTTTGATTTTTAAATGATAAATATTTAAACACTTTTAACATTAAATATTAAAAAAATATATTTTTAATCGCACATTTGTATATATATATATATACGTATATAGTTATAATAAATAATGGTTTCAAAATTTGTTGATCATTTTAATGAAAATAACTAAGTAAAGTAAAAGTGTGAGGTTATATTATATTAGTTAAATCAAGTCATCAACATAAAAAAGTTAAATTTATTTTTATTTTTTTATTTAACTTAAAGTTAAATTATAATGATTGTTAATAGTTAACATACAACCACTAACATCTTATGCTTTAAGTTGTTGTTGAAACATAATGTTTTCAGAAAATGATTGTTTATTTTCAATTTTATATTACAAATTTTGCTTACTTAAAATTAAGTTGATCTTGTAGTATCACGTTCAAATCGTAGTGCATATGAGCGAATGTGTCTAAATCGGTGTCGGCAAATGGATAGAACCCTTTGAATTTGTTTGGTTCCGAGATCTGACGAAAAATTGTGACACAATAATTTAATGATAAAATCAGTGATTGTGGCTTATGYGGTTAAATTGTCCCTCCCCGAAATGTCTGAGAAGTGATTTAATGTAAATGTTTTAAATGAAAATTTGTTTTATTATTTTATTA